TGTAAAGGCTTTCAGAGAAACACAGATTTTGTCATAATTAATCACTGGAGAAATAATCACCTGTATTTTGTGCTTTTCTTACATAGAAGAGTGAGTTGTTAAGCAGCCAGAAAGTATTTGGAGCTGTGTAATTTATTATTCTTTATCACTATAGATAAAAATGTAGCTTTTCTTATAGAGTCTACATATTTTAGAGGAAGGTAAATGGAACAGCAGACAAGTTAAAGTGACAGATAATCAAATAAAGTCTGATTTGTTTTAACTTCTTGAAAACCTACGAATTTAGAGCACTTGAACTAGTGTGACAATTACTCATGCAGGTGGATTAAGATCAGGTGCCATTGAATACTGCTTTAGTCGTAAGAATCTCCATGAAAAACATTTTATCCCCTAAAACTTTCTGCCCAGAAAATGCTTGTGCATGTGTTTATCTGACTGACCTGCAGGGCGCTGTTGAGGAAGCAGCTGTTCTGTCCCGGCTCGTTGCTCAAGCCTTTGCTGGGTGCGATAGAGGTCATGGTTCTCGGGGTCACCAGCCCCTGCACCCCACCTACCGCTCCACCGCCCGACGCAAAGTAGTTCCTCTTCCACGACATCACTACCTGGACGCCCCCGTTTCCACGACAAGGCGGAGAAGGGGCGGGGCAGCAGACCAAACAACGGCCTCTATGTCACTCCCATGAGAGAGAACGAGGGAGAATGAGAGAAAAGCAGAGGAGGACAAAATGGACGGAGGAAGAGGAGGGAGGCGGCGGCCGTAGATTGAAGAGACGCGGTGTGTCTTAGACGGGGATTTGGCACCCATACAACCCTGCCCCTCTCCAGCCGTGTTTTTACTTTAAAATCTGTCCACTTGCATGAGCCAGCGGTTGGCTTTTTGTTTTTCTGTTTTTAGCTCCTCGGATTTAGCAGTTTGTGTTTAAAGACATGAGAACGTTTCCAAAGCGTCCTTTGGCAGATTCTGTCACATGGATTAGACAGCGTTGCTGCTCCCATGTGGGGACTCCGTCGATGCTTTCTTCTCCTCTTTTACTTTGCCTGCAAGACACAAAGACCAACCTGTTAGGACTCTGCACACACAACAACGAGCGACAAGAACCTTTAACAGGTTTAGCAACAGGTACAATAATGGTACTAAATCCTGTGGACTCCATAGATAGAGTGATGTTCCTTTAGTACCAATGCAGCTAAAAAAAAATGACGAGGACTAGTAAAGACTTAAACAATAAACTCTGTTCCAGGGTGTTAACCAGATAAATGAAAATTGAAAGTGAGACTGGTCTACCCCTCCTGAGAGTTTGTTTGGCAGATACAAGAATATCACTGATAACTATTCCCTCTATTGCCTTTATAGTTATTACAACATGCTAGCATGGAAACCACATGAACAAGTAATCACCACATTCGATCGCTCAAAGCAAAACTGCAACTTTAACCTAGAGAGCAGCAACATTTGGTCCTAATCAGGATACTTTGGCACTTCGGCTCAGACTTTGAGACTAGATGTGGCCCAATAGTCACAACACACCAACCCAGTCTCATGGCATGGGAATAGTCCCACGTTTTGCCGCGATATCAGGTCGAACACACCTATTGTCTTGCACATGTTAAGTATTTGTGACTTTGTGACTTTGGGTCACATGGGTTGCAGGTTGGGAACTCTGCAAGACATTTACAACCAATTTTTGCAAGGCCATATGATGTTGGAGGGTGAACTCGGTCTATAATTATGATTAAGTGGGTGGTTTGTGTCAAAGTATCATACGCATGATTGCCAGGACTAGGTTTCCTAGCAGAACTCTGCGTGGTAACAAGATGATTAATGTCATTCCCTTCACATGTCAGTGGTATCAATGTAATGGCTGATCACTGTATACTTCTGAAATCTGTCTTGGCCTCTTTTATGGCATCAACACATAAAAAAAGGGTCAAATAAAATAATGAAATACATTTAAACAAGCAAATTTTAAAAAGGTGGTAAAGGCTGTTGCTTTGCCATCATGTAAACATCATACGAACACAATAATATGAGGGAGGGTAGCAGTGCATCAGTGGTAGGACACAGGAAGAAATCTGTTATGTCATTTCATAATCAGTACTTAGGGACATTATCTGGAGCTTATGCTGGTTCAAGCATCAATATGCACGGCTTCTAAACATGCGTGTGTGAGATGATAAAAAAAAAAAAGGCAATCTGTGTGTTTGTTACTCTACAATATGTGTGCGTGGGTGTGTGTACATGAAGTTGCATAACACCACAGGGCAGTAGCTAGCATATCCGCAGTGCCCCCTCCACCCTCCCTCCCTTCCTTCCTTCCTTCCCCTATAGCTTCCCCACTTTTTGGCAATGCTCCCTCGCCTGATTGCTGGGTTGCGTTACTGCCACAGCACCCCCTTGGCGAGAGGCCAGAGGGCGCAGGGATGCTGCGGCGAGCAGGTGAGCAGCGTGGGCAGTTGCTATGGCGATGGCCACATGGGATGGGTAACAGTGGGGTGGGGTGATGGGGGGCGGGATAGAGCTTGGGGAGGGGACATCGTGACAAGGATGGCAAGTGAAATGCATCAGAGCGAATACAGAAGGAAACATTATGCAACTGTTAGGCAGCAACATTGTCAGTTCATCCACTTGTCACAGTCACAGAGTTCTACTGCAAATCTATCTATCTATCTCTCTATCTATCTCTTATATACGTTTATCCGTTAACAAACAAATCCAAATTGCCTGAGGATTTAAAAAGGGATTTGGTGTGCCATTTTTTTCTCTACAGCACAGCATTCTGAGCTTCTTTCTCAGCATACAGTGTGCATATGTGTGTGTGTGTGTGTGTGTGTCCCGCTGAGCCTGTGTAGAGTGTGTGATCACACATCCTCTCTCTGACTGCACCCTACAGCCCCACACAGCCGAGATCGCTCTGGCAAGCCTTCGCACAAGTGCTGTTTATGCGTGTGTGCATGTGTGTGTGTGTGTGTGTGCTCATGCGTTTGTGTGTCCCCACATCTTCGGCTAGTTACCATGGAAATAGGCCAAGCAGCAGGCACGCGGGGGAAAAGCCGAACCATGTGATTTTACAGAGAGACACACTGTGCTGCACCGGTTGAGATAGCGCACACACACACTCACACACACACACTAACACACACTCACACATGGGGCTGGCAAGTGATGATGATGATGTGTATTGATGCTAGAGACTTCCTGGAAGCCAGAGTGAGTCAAGGCACAAGTCATTCAAATTCCCTGACCCCGCACTGGCAGGCATAAGGAAACCAGGACCTGTGGATACAGCACAGACAGATGGAGGAGATTTTCCACGTGTGATGTTGAGGTGAGGACACTCTTTGTGCCGTGCACCAAGACACTAACCTGTGACCTCATGTCCGCCCTATCAACTTGTTGGAAGTCAGCGCAACCTGGCTTTGAGCATGAGGCAGTTGTCACAGAGTGAGCAGTCACCTTTTCTCAGCAGTCAGTATTCATTTTCAGATATCCATCTCTGCCAGCTTCTGATACAGATAAGCAGCGTGGGCTGTAGTGCTCTACTAATAATTTAATTACATTTCTCAGTGGTGTTGTGGTAAGGTTGCAGATTTCTAAATGTAATAACTTTTCAGCAAAGCTTTTTCTTAAGTAGTGCATTAGCATCCATTTTACATTTACAGAGCATTTCAGAAGCTGAGGATCAGCAGCGGGTTCTGCTGCAGTCTGAGAGAAAACTAAGGGCCAGATTTCCTAACGCGCTGCAGCACCGCAAGTTGGGTTCTGGTGTGAAAAGTGGCGAGGCTGCATGTAAGAGGTGGGAAGATTTTTGTAACTGACCCTGTTGCATATGTATTTCTGGGAGTTCTTTTCTCAAGGCACAAAACTTGGAGAGGACAACACTTAACTGAAGAGTGCAAAATGATTTATTAAGATTTGCGACACGCAATTCTGCTAATTGCACCAATATTTAATGCCACAAAATGGCATATCTTATTTTTTGTGCTTCATATTGAGATGAATTGTCTGCAGTCGGGTTTAGAAAACAGTAGCTTTTATAAATTACCCATAAAAGTAGCCCCACCTATGAGTGCTATTTGGGAATCACACTCACACGCTGTTTTGCCTTGTTTAGTAAATCTCTCCCTAAAGGAGGATTCGGATGTATGAGTTGCTTCAACATTTTCTAGTGCATGTGCCTGACATTTAGCTGATATTGTTGTTCACTGACCTGTTGTAGGCAGGAACATCATTACAGCATTAGCAGTTGGCATGACCTAAGCCAGCTGCCTGTGTCTTACAGGGTGAT